GAGAGTGCATACTGCTGCATGGAGCGTGCATAAGGGCCTGGTGCTCTGATGTTGTAGTTGAATGCTGGTCTCATCCCCGGGTAGGCATCTATAGGTTTGTAGATGGGCTTCTTGCCCAACTTCATACAAAGTGCATTAAGCTCCACAGTGTGGGTTACATTATCTGAATGAGAGAGAAACATGCCAAACAGCTGTTTGCACTGCTAACATTCATGAGGTTCAACCTATTACTGTAAAAACATTATTACTGTAAAATATTGTTGCCGTTTAAAAGTCTTTTTCCATTTTGATATATTTTAAAATGTAATTTATTTCTGTGATGCAAAGCTGAATTTCAGCATCATTACTCCAGTCTTCAGTGTCACATGATCCTTCAGAAATCATTCTAATATGCTGATTTGGTGAACAATAAACATTTCCTATTATTATCATCAATGTTAATGCATTGCTTAATGTTAACTAACAGTGAGCAAAACATTTGTATTTATTAATCTCTCTTAGTTAATAAAAACACAGCTGATCATTGTTAGCTCATTTTTGCTTGAGTACATTAAATAATATTAACATTAAATAATATGTATAGACCTTTTAATTTGAATAATTTAGTAGTAAATGTTGAAATTAACATTAACATTAAAGGCTTTAAAAGTATTTTTCATTGTTAGTTTGTTAACTAATAAATTTACTAAAGTTAACAAATGAAACCTTAAAGTGTAACCTAAAAATCCTCTGTAACAATGTAAATGTCGTTACTATCACTTTTGATAAATTTAATGTGCCCTTGATGAATAAAAATATTCTTTTTTTTTTTTTTTAATCTTACTGACCTCAAACTTTTGAATGATACTGTAAATGCAAAAAAAAAACATCATAAATTCAGAATTGCAAGATATACACTTGCAACTCTGAGAGGGAAAAAAATCTGAATTGTGAGATTACCTTTTTTTATTCTGTGGCGGAAACAAGCTTTCATACAATTCAGGTTTTGACAATGTGAGGATGAGAAAATGTTCAGTTAAGAAGATAAAGGGAACAATTGCACGTACACTCTGAGCCCTTGTAGATCCCACCTGGGTTCTTGCCTGGGTGGCGGGGGCTTCTGTGACTGGGTTTGGGGAGAGTAGTTTGGGTGAGAGCACATGTTGCTGCTGAGTGCTGGGCTTTTTTGATACTGGTCCCCTCTGCATCCCAGTGCTGATCCCCCAGAGTTAACCGCACTGAGAAAATCTGACCAACACACCACAACATCAGAAAGTTCAGGCAGGTGGGAAGAGATGGTTTTGTGTGTTTGTGTATACAGTAAAGCGCCAAGTCTTACCTTGGAGTGGGCTGGTCCTTGTTCACTGAGTAGCTTGTATTCAGGTTGGATCTTATTGTAACGGGCTAACTCATTTACCAGACACATAGGAGTTTTCTCTTTAGGGTTTGCCATGTTAGATACTAGAGGACAACATTAAAAGATTAAATCAAGGAGGAAATATTTTAAAACTTTTTAACAATCCAAGAAATTATTTTTCTTATCAGGGCATAGCTAGGACCAGATTATTCAAAAGTTCGGGGTCAGTAAATGTATTTATTTATTTTTTTATGTTTTTGAAAAAGACTCATGCTCACCAAGGCTGCAATTATTTGATAAAAAATAGAGCAAAACAGTAACACTGTGAAATCTTATTACAGTTTAAAAGAACTATTTTCTATTTTAATATATTTTAAAATAATGTATTCCTGTGATGCAAAGCTGAATTTTCAGCATCATTACTCCAGTCTTCAGTGTTACATGAAACTTCAGAAATCATTCTAATATAATATGCTGATTTGCTGCTCAAGAAACATTTCTTATTATCATTTGTGTTTATGTTCATCATTTTTAGTGAACATTAAGTTAAAAAGAACAGCATTTATTTGAAATAGAAATATTTTGTAATAAGATCAATAATATGCATCCTGGCTAAATAAAAATTTTAATTTGAATCATTAATGTTTTCAGCAATGTTTGCCAAAAATTAATATTGCCAAAAATATTGCCAATTTTGTTACTGATATTGAAACAGTTGTGCTGCTTAATATTTTTGGTGAATAGGAAGGAAGTTTAAAAAGTATTTATTTGAAATAGAAATATTTTGCATTTACTGTCAAGTTTGATAAATGTTATGCATTCTTGCTGAATAAAAATATTAATTTCTTTCGAAAAATAAAACAAATCTTAACGACCACAAATTTTGAATGGTAGTGTATTTTTTTTCAGCATGTTCTGAGATAAAAATAATTTTTTTATACCATTGTTATCAGATTTTATTGCTGAATTGAAATATGTTATTAAGAACTTTCCATATGAGATTTCTATATGGGCCTGGGCATAACTGAAGAATTTGAACGCACGAATTGTCACGTCCTAGATGATGCTTTTTGTCTAAAAATGCTCAGAGCAATGTTTCACCCACCTGTGGGGTTGCAGAAGGGTGTGGCGGAGGCGGAAGGCAGGGCGGAGTTTCGGAGCGGGTGACTGGCACTCTCTGAGGGTAAGGGAGCAGTGGCACAGGGAATGCTGAACCCGGGTTGGGGCGGGGCCAGCTGTAAAGGGGCAGCACTGGGTGCAGGGTTGCCAGGCGCCTGAAACTGAAGCTGTGACATTCTGATTGGCTGGTAGGAAGGTGGGTTGTTTGAATGACCTGGTATAGACTTTGCAGTCAGGTAGGAAGAGAACTTCACAAAGAAGGGTTGTACGTGAAAGAGAGAGAACGACACAGTGAGAGTTTGTAGAATGAAGGACGACTGCAAAGCTCAATCTGCAGAGAAGAAAAATTAAAAGGATTATGATTCGTTATCATAGCTAAACTGTAAAAAAGAATCTGTGACTTTTACGGTAAAATACCGGCAGCTGTGGTTGCCAGAACGTCACCGTAAAAAATATGGTAGCAACATTTTAGGTTTTACAGACTTAACTTAAATTCACAATAAAATACTGTATTTCATTAACTGATGTAATGTTAATAAACCAACATATCGAAGTACTAATATCTGTATTGAACCATTGTAATGCACTGATAACCACCAAAAACTGGTGGTGATGAGAAAGTCACATGATGAACCAAAGCTCATCACAAACAGCTTTTCTACGAGCTGAGGAGGGCAATATTTATATATAGAAGGTGCACAGTGTCATTCACACAAACACTAAACCCCATCATGGTGACACACATGATACTGAAATAATGCAATAAACATTCATTTAACAACATTAGATGTAAGATTAAACCATAACGTACACAACTGATAAGAAAAAACTAAGAAGAATCATGTTATTTCAACAAAAAAAAACATTAAATATGAAGTGTCATGCAGGGAATTCTGGGAGTGTCAATTTACGGTTTTTCACTGTAAATTATACAATGACTTTTTCTTTTTTAACAGTATTTTATTGTAAAATGACATTAAATGTAATTACATGTATTCACCGAATATAGTATGGAAACTTACTGTTAACCAGTTAACAGGTTTTTACTGTAGCATTTTTACAGTCTTTTACTGTTAAAATCACAATCATATGCTTAAGTAACCAAAAGATCAATCTTTGCATTTCCAAAAAAGAAAATGCCAGTGCTAAAGCAAAAGAATGTATGCAGGGTCAGACAGCTCGCAGATTCCATCAGAAATATCATAATTTGTGTTCCGAAGATGAACGAAGGTCTTACGGGTTTGAAACGACATGAGGGTGAGTAATTAATGACAGAATTTTCATTTTTGGGTGAACTAACCCTTTAATAAAGAATTTGGTACGCTTAGATCTGTTTGTGAACAGTGTTTGGAGTGAATAAATCATTCTTGTTCACTTACTAACAAAACAACAAAAACTCAGAGAACTTTCAGTGATGTAACACTGCCGTGATATTCAGTATCACTATTATGACATAATAGTGACTCCATAACTGTTGCCACAATTTTAAATGATGATCAGCAATGCTAATAAAAGATTTTCAAACCTCGCAACACTTAATTTAAATGATCCACAAATATTTTGAAAGAGTACAAGTTATATACGCTAACCCTGTAAAGCCTAAAATTTTTAAGTCGAATTTTTAAAAAATTTAAATTAGTTATTGAACAAAAAATGTGCATAGTTTTATTTATTTTTTTTTATCATATTTGATAAATCAGGCTTTTACGGCTCAAATGGTATGATATAGGAGAATATGGAATTCACACTTGAGGAGGAAAAAAAACCTCCCAATAATATGTCTTATTAAGTATGGTTTTATAATCAAAGCTCTGTAGTTTTTATTGTGGATGGCAAAATTTGAGACTTAATAGAATTTTCCAATTAAGTATGGCTAATCAAGTAAACCGAAGTTGCTTCAGTCCAGTAAATGTTCGACTTGAAATATTATTCTTACGTTTACTTCATAAAAACTATTAACGAAAGACTGTGCAAGGCAGACATTTTTAGAATTATAAAATGCTTTTTATAATTCTTTTTACTTAATAAAAACTGAAATATATATGAAAATACAAGAAAAATATGAACATTCAACGCGAAAGCTGTAAATATGAACAGAAAAATAAATATCAGCTGTCAAGACTCCTCCTACCCTTGCACAAATATCAAAGGCAGCGATATACACATACAAGCACCATACATATAAAAAGCACGGCATAACCAAATCAGGCTTGTTTGTATAATATTATGTTTTCTCGGCAAAAGCCGCTGTTACAATATGCGATAAGACTGACTGAGATCAGTATGAATGGCTCGAGCTAACACACTAGCAGCTCGCGCATCTCCTCAAACGCCGGCTCCATAAAGCTCACCTCGGTTTATTTCTCTTCGGTTGTGATTTACTCCGTGAGTTACGTTGTTAAACTGTAGTGTCTGTTCGGCTTCGTCCCGTTTAAAGGGGTTCTGTACTGGTTTAGTATGAAAACACGGGGAAGAGGTATAGAGGGTGAGTGTAGACAGGGCAAACACTAAAGAGAATAGCCCGAGATTTTCCGCTTCTGCCAGGAAATGACATCACGCCAGTCAGTTGTGGGGTAAAAACGAGGAAAATGGGTTTTAGTAATTGATTGGTACAGTAAATTACTATTCAACTTTTTAATTAGTCGCATTTAAACATAATGTGCAGAGGTTTGTGGCCTGGTTATGCGGGCCTTATGTTACAGTAGTGGTGGGTGGAGGGGCTGGTAACCCAATCCTCTCACAAACATGTTTTGGACATACTTGAAGCACACTTTATCCTTTTGAAATGCTGTTTATTGGTGAAATTGAGACAATTTTGATATTTTTAATGCAACTGTGTTTAAGCATTTCTTACAGGCTTTTTTTTTTTTTTTTTGCATGTACACAATGAAAATTACAGTATCATTAAAATAAAGAACTCAGCTTATTTTGCCTCTGTATAAAAAGGAAAATATATTAATAAAATGCTACTGTGTTCTTTTAAAACTTTGCCCACTTGAAGTCTTTTTGTAAAGAGTGGCCATAGCCAGAGAACTTTGTGAGGATTGGTGATGCCATTGTCTGAGGTGATGTATTAAGCATAATAAAAATGATGTGGATAAACATCAAACTCAACCAAAATCCATCTGAAGTAACAGCCAAAGTGACATATTTCAAATCCATGTCAGTAGTTATAAATTGATGCATGATTGACTTAATTCCAGTGCGTCTTGCGTACCTAAATGTGGCTAAACCTTTATTTCTCACACACACACAAACATATGCGCACACACAACTTGGAGATTATTGCTGAAGCATTTCAAACAGTACATAATACTTTATCACATTGTGATAGGAAAGAGTTGGTAGGAGAAGGCTTGCATAAATTAGAGTCCTGAGAGTTGGGGATAAAACAAAGGTTTAAAGGTTGTATGCCTGTCGGATATTGAACGTGTCTTTCATCATCAGGTCTCGGAGTCGCCATAATGCGTCGGCCATCGTGGTGTGAGCGCCCTTGCTTTTCAGCCAGTGTGTAGGGAGACGGCTCTCTTGCTCCCTGGTGAGACGACAGTCTTTTCTTTGTGCTGAAGGAATGAAAATTAGAAAGAAAACATTGTTAAAACGTGTATGATTTGGGACAAGACCACTAAAACTGAGCAGCAAAATGGGTCACTCAGAGAGGCTTTTGGCTGTAACATCACAGAAGTCATTTACATACAGAAGACTTCACGGTAGAGCCATTTTAACAAAAACAATAATTTAAATGAATAAATTATGAATGTTTTTGGTGCAAGACACCATGTATAACATTGTGTTATACCATACACTCCATATAACATTATATAAGTAAAAGTGCTAAAAAAAAGTGTGGCATAAGGAAATATCATAAAACAATTGCTTTAACAATAAAAAATTATTTTGCAATTATTTAGTAAACACTACTATTCAAAAGTTTGGTGTCGGTAACATATTTTTATGTTTTTGAAAGAAGTCTCTTAATTCACCAAGGCTGCTAAGACACCATGTATAACATTGTGTTATACCATACACTCCATATAACATTATATAAGTAAAAGTGCTAAAAAAAAAGTGTGGCATAAGGAAATATCATAAAACAATTGCTTTAACAATAAAAAATAATTTTGCAATTATTTAGTAAACACTACTATTCAAAAGTTTGGTGTCGGTAACATTTTTTTATGTTTTTGAAAGAAGTCTCTTAATTCACTAAGGCTGCATTTATTTGATAAAACATACAGTAAAAACAGTAATACTGTAAAATATTATTACAATTTAAAATAACCATTTTCTAATTCAACATCTTAAAATGTAATTTGTTACTCTGAGGGCAAAGCTAAATTCTCAGCAGCCATTACTCCAGTCTTCAGTGTCGCATGATCCTTCAGAAATCATTCTAATATGCTGATTTTGTGCTCAAGAAGCATTTCTTACTACGATCAATGTTGAAAACATCTGTGCTATATATTTTCGTAAAAACATGATACATTTTTTTCAAGTTCAAAAGAGCAGCATTTATTTGAAACAAAAAACGTTTTATATTATTATGTCTTTACCGTCACTTTTGATCAATCTAATGCATCCTTGCTGAGTAAAAGTATTAATTTGGGTCAAATTAAGACAAATATTACTGACCTCAAACTTCTGAACTGTATATAACTTCAAAAGGAATACATAAAACAACTCTCATATGCAATTCACATGCAAATCATCTTTACCCTTAAGGCTCTGGTCCCACTTGCTAATAGTGGAGGATTCAGCACTGAGGCCCTCAATGTACTTCAAATAAGCTTCTGAATGCAGAAGACGCTGAGGTTTTGGAGGTGGGGCAACAAAAATAGGCGGAGCTGGCTGCTGCTGGCCTGGTTGACCTTGACCTGGATATGGTGGTGGAGCTTGCTGTCCTGGCCCATATCCACCCATCTGAGAACACAAAGTAAAGACAGAGATGACAATCTGTATCTGCTTTATCGTCACCACTGAAAGCTGGATGAACATGTTCTTCACCTGCATGCCATAATGGTTTCCAGGACCAGGACTTCCAGCCATGCCGTTTATTCCTGGGCCCATCACACCTGAATAGGAAAGCAAAATCAGTTTAAATCTCAACTCCAACAGATAATGTTGCAAATTAATGTGCACCGACTGAATAAATATTTTTTACATAAATGTGTGTTACATTTTCCCCAAGCAAGTGGTGTTTTTAAAAAACAATGATTCAGTGAAGTCAGTCAGTGGAAATGTGGAAGTGCACATCATGTGTAGAAAATAGATTAAGAAAGTGTGAGGTAAGATATTGCGAAAAAAAAGCATGTTAGTGGTGTTGTGTGAATATTCCCACTCTATGAATTAGTTACAACTAAAATTAGACCATGCAGAAATACAGATATTATCTAGTTATAAAAAGCATTTCCTCATTCACTAAAATAATGTACAAACAATCAGCTCTGTTTCAAAACCATATAAAGCTGCCTTGCTGTCCAGGCAGCTCACTAGATTTTGGAACAAAGCCATGATTTCAAACCGAGAGAAAGAGGGGAGAAAAAAAAAGATTTAATTTGTATTTATTTTTTGGGGATTGGAGATGGTCAGAAGATCTTCAGGTGGGGTTTCTGTCTAATCGGGGTGCTTCTTACCCGGATGGGGCATACCAGGGTACCCGGCCATGCCTGGTAGAAGGTAGTGCTGGGAAGGCAGCTGGGGCACCCCCATGGGATGAGGTGGTGTGCCACCCATGCCCATCATGCCCTCAGAAGGACCCTGCATAGGCATGTAGGGCAGGCCATAATTTCCCATTATGCCTTGGGTGAGGAGGAGATAGCACAAAAAGATCCATGCATTGATGACATGCAGTTGTCTAACAAGTCATGCAACTACTAAAAACAGTAATACTGTAAAATATTATTACAATTTAAAATAACCATTTTCTAATTCAACATTTTAAAATGTAATTTGTTACTCTGAGGGCAAAGCTAAATTCTCAGCAGCCATTACTCCAGTCTTCAGTGTCGCATGATCCTTCAGAAATCATTCTAATATGCTGATTTTGTGCTCAAGAAGCATTTCTTACTACGATAGTAAAAACAGTAATACTGTAAAATATTATTACAATTTAAAATAACCATTTTCTAATTCAACATCTTAAAATGTAATTTGTTACTCTGAGGGCAAAGCTAAATTCTCAGCAGCCATTACTCCAGTCTTCAGTGTCGCATGATCCTTCAGAAATCATTCTAATATGCTGATTTTGTGCTCAAGAAGCATTTCTTACTACGATCAATGTTGAAAACATCTGTGCTATATATTTTCGTAAAAACATGATACATTTTTTTCAAGTTCAAAAGAGCAGCATTTATTTGAAACAAAAAACGTTTTATATTATTATGTCTTTACCGTCACTTTTGATCAATCTAATGCATCCTTGCTGAGTAAAAGTATTAATTTGGGTCAAATTAAGACAAATATTACTGACCTCAAACTTCTGAACTGTATATAACTTCAAAAGGAATACATAAAACAACTCTCATATGCAATTCACATGCAAATCATCTTTACCCTTAAGGCTCTGGTCCCACTTGCTAATAGTGGAGGATTCAGCACTGAGGCCCTCAATGTACTTCAAATAAGCTTCTGAATGCAGAAGACGCTGAGGTTTTGGAGGTGGGGCAACAAAAATAGGCGGAGCTGGCTGCTGCTGGCCTGGTTGACCTTGACCTGGATATGGTGGTGGAGCTTGTCCTGGCCCATATCCACCCATCTGAGAGGACAAAGAAAGAGAAAAGTAAAGACAGAGATGACAATCTGCTTCTGCTTTAGCATCACTACTGAAAGCTGCATGAATATGTGCTTCACCTGCATGCCATAATGGTTTCCAGTACCAGGACTTCCTGCCATGCCGTTCATTCCTGGGCCTATCACACCCGAGTAGGAAAGCAAAAATAGTTTAAATCTTGAGTTAAGTTTAAATCTTAACACCAATAAATAAGGCTGCAAATAATCTGCACTGATTGAATAAATAAATATTGTTTCTATGATTTACATTTCCCAGAAGCAAATGGTGTTTGTATAAAACAACGATTCAGTGCATTCAGTCCGTGGAAAAGTGGAGGTGACAAATCATGTGTAGAAATTAGATTAAGAAAGTGTGAGGTGAGACATTGAGGAAAAAGAAAACATTAGCATGTTAGTGATGCTGTGTGAATATTCCCACCCTATGAATTAGATACAACTAAAATTAGACCATGCAGAAATACAGATAATATCTAGTGATAAAAAGCATTTCTTCATTCACTAAAACAACGTACAAACAAAAGACTGTGTTTCAAAACCAAATAAGCTGCCTTGCTGTCCAGGCAGAACACTAGATTTTGAAACAAAGCCATGATTTCAAACCAAGATTTTTTTTTCCCAAATTTGGATTGGAGCTGGTCAGAAGATCTTCAGGTGTGGTTTCTGTCTGATCGGGGTGCTTCTTACCCAGATGGGGCATACCAGGGTACCCGGTCATGCCTGTCAGAAGGTAGTGCTGGGAAGGTAGCTGGGGCACCCCCATGGGATGAGGTGGTGTGCCACCCATGCCCATCATGCCCTCAGAAGGACCCTGCATAGGTATGTAGGGCGGGCCATAAATTCCCATCATGCCTTGGGTGAGGAGGAGATAGCACAAAAAGATCCATGCATTGATGACATGCAGTTGTCTAACAAGTCATGCAACTACAAAATAACAGTCATATCAATGTCAAAGAAAGTGTGAATTTTTAAACATGGTTAATCCAGGCATGTTAAAAAAAAGAGCTCTACATATTAACGGGTTAATAATATATTAATATTAATAAAAAAAGTTGTCATGCAAAAAGAACATGGTAAATGTGAAAAAGAATGTGGCAATATTCAAAAACACAAGACAAGACCAAAAAGTTTGCATACAAACAAAAGGCATTTAGTGAAATGAACGGAATCATCACTAATGGGGTACACTTTTGGTACGGGGAAGATAGAGACATGATTGATGAGTTGAGGTTTTAGATGGTTTCAATAGATTGTCGGAGGGTGCCCGGATGCTGCATCTGTCTCCTTCAGCGAGGGTGGGGGCGATTTGGCGTTACCTGGCACAGGTGGCATGGCCTAGTTTAGCATCCCCATAGTGCTTGGGGGAGGTACCACCCCTATCATTGAGCTGACTGGAGTACCTGCTCTTGGGGAAGCCTGCTGCTGCTGCTGCTGCTGCTGAAGGACCCTCTCCCGTTCTTGCTGCTCTACCAGTTTAGCTGCCCGTTCTGTGAAAACATTGATAACTGAATTACAGACTCCACGGTATGTGGTGGTATTAAGCAACACTGTGAATAAGAGAAAGAGTTTCCATTTAGAAATAGTCTGCAAAGCATCATCTGCTGTGCATGGAGAAAAACAAATCCCGGTTACCGCTGTTATTTATTTCTATGGGAAAAATTAACTGCTAGCTTTTTTAAGGAGGTCAAATAATCTGCGCTGCGGACATGCAGACATACAGATGTGAGATCCCAAAGAATCTCTTGTGAATGAATTGGTTGTATTCATAGCAGTGTCTTGTAAAAATGGTTTGCTTTATTGGAGTATGACTGCGATATTTATCTTAAAGGGGTCCTATTATGCTTTTTCACTTTTTGAATTTTAGTGTGTATTGTGTATGTTTGGGCATAAAAAAGATCTTCACACTTACAAATCTCAAAGTCCACTCCAAAGGGAGATATTTCATTTTTTAAAAATCCCTTTTCAAGAACTACAACGAACGGCTCTTTTGGACTACAGCATTTGTTTTCCGGGTTTTGTGATATCACAAAGCGGCCCATTAGAATATCATTAAAATAATTCCCGCCTACAGAAATTCGAATGGTTGGGGGGTGGGGAGGGGCGAGGTCATGGTTAGAACGCTTGGTTGAGTGCATCAGACAAGACGACGACAAAGAAGTGCTGCTGTAGAGTCAAGTTATTACACATGCACCTGAATAATTAGGTATGTAAATATGTATGTTACAATTATGAAAACGTTTTTATAATAAATTGCTGACAGTACAATACTGGACAATGATGTAATCTGCAGAATTTACACTTCAATTATAAGACTACAGTGTTTCCCATACATTGAGTGCGGGTGTTTTTATAGCACTGTATTTTTGAAGGAAACCGACTGTCTTCAGAAAATTGGATGTTATTTTCATTTAATCTTGCATGTAATGTCTGAAAAAGCAGTGTTTTTTTTGAGCGGAGCGCTGCTTTGTGTACAGCCTTTACAGGGGAAACCTTGATCTCTACCACTCCAACAGCGCCTCCTGCTGGCAGAGAGTGAGTTTGCATATAAAGGTTCTGTGCGATCCTCTTGTTCAATATTCTCTGGGTCTGAATCCGGCTCAAAGTGATATGGCAATATTGACGCCATCCTTAACTAAACCGGAGCAGACGGAACTTGCTGCTTTGGCAAGGGGTGGGGCAGTACTGAAACACTGTCTAAGCTGTTCGCCAATCACGACGCACTGGGACAGCTAACAAATCACAACACATTTCGTTTTTCGGAAGGCGGGCCTTCATCAAACCCGGAACTAATCGAGCCATTTGTACCAGGATGGGGAGAAAGGTCTTGTAATAATGTAAATTATGTAAAAAATTAAGCATGAGCGCATGTTCTAGTACAGTGTTTCCTATGTAGTACAGTATTGTTTCTGTTTGCAATAGCCCTACTGTGCTAAAACAAGGTGTGGTAAATGGGCAACTCTTGATTGCCACCATTGATGGACACATTTTTTAAATGGTATTAAAAATATCTGTATGACATTATATTCTGCAGTTCTTCCCTGCTGTACCGAATATCTATACTTTTCAAAGTATTATATCGAAGTTAGAAATTCAAATATTGTGACAACTTATTTTGTAGGATGCCACAAATTTGTTAAAATTTCCAAAGGGTGCCGCGACTAAATAAAGGTTGGGAAACACTGTTCTAGTACACCCCCAAAACAAATTCAAGACATTGTAAAAGAGCATAATAGGACCCCTTTAATGGAATATTTTACCTTAAAATTTGCTGAAAATTTATTAAAGATGATTTTTCTTCTTTCGAAACCGATTTGGATAAATTTAGCAACAGCTCATCACAGTACATCACAGTACTCCACAAGTAATCAACAACAAACCAACATCAGTTACTGTCTTGTGAAGTGAAAAGCTGTGTGCGCGCAAGAAACAAATCCATCATTAAGACATTTTAACTTCAAACCATCAATTCAAGCCAAAATACCTAAATACCTACATCCCCTATTGTCCTCTCATATCAAAATCCACCAACATATTTGTTTAGAACCATTTTGGACTGTTTTCGCTTGTAAACGGCACTTGGCCGGTGCGTATTCCTCTCGGATGAGATGACTTTTTCCACTAGAGAAAGCAATGTTATGGATAGTAGACTCGTATTTTAGCCAGAAGCAATGGTTTGAAGTTAAAAACATCTTAATGATGGATTTGTTTATTACAAATACGCAGCTTTTCACTTCAAAATATGTTAATTGATGGACTGGAGTCATGTGGATTATTGTGATGTTTTTATATCAGCTGTTTGAACTCTCATTCTGACAGTACTCATTCACTGCAGCGGATCCATTGGTGATCAAGTGATGTAATACTAAATTTCTCCAAATCTGTCCCAATGAAGAAACAATCTCATCTACATCTTTGATTATGTGAGGTGAACTATAGTAATCAGGACTAGAGCAACTTCTCAGGAAGGGTTGAGAACGTACCTTCATATTCTGCCTTCTTAGAAGTTTCCAGGTTCCTCCATTCTGTGCCCACCAGTCGGCTCAGCTCTCCAAAGGAGAAATCAGGGTGACGAGCCTTTATAATAGCCCTCACTTCACTGCTAAACAGGATGTAGCCACTCATGTTGATCTTGCGCTTGGCTCCTTCCTTTTTTGACATACCCTTAATCTTTGGTGTGGACTGTGCAACGCAAACAGGGGTGTAAAGAAAATGTCAGGAGAATAGAAGTTGATCAAATTAAAACTAGACAGTTGAAGATTTTGAATATATGATTGTATATTAAATATGATAACTAGCTATCAGAAAACAATGGATTTCTGATAATAACTAACTATATAATGTCCACAACACAAATTAATATTTATTCATGTTTAATTGTTTCATGTTTGCTAAAAATCACTAGGTATGATGCACACAATTGTAAAATGATTAATATCGGAATATTCTTGTGCCCATAAAACTGGACAGGATGGGTAATGACTGATTTCTTGGGAGATTGGAGTACCTGTGGTGGTGTATAAGGCATATCCACGTCACTGGTTGTAGATGCCTGACTGGGTGGCATTGAGGGCGTCGCTGCTGCTTCGTCGTCATCATCCAGATCATCCATATCTTCATCCAGATCCTCCATGTCTGCAAACTTAGCCTCAAGCTCCTCAATCTTCTTATCCAGCAGGGGGGATGGCACCTTCTGGGGCACGGTGGGTTTTCTGAAAATTAATTTAGAGCATCAATTAGTCGATAAACCCAATCGGCCATTTCAAGCCTTAGTTTGAAGTCTGGCACATTAAAGGCACAATATGTAAGATTTTTTTGTATTAAAATATCCAAAAACCACTAGAGAACAGTGTTATATATTTTGAAGAATGATTAAATCAAGAGAAATAAGCAATTTTAACTAGTGACACGGAGCGTGTCCATAGTGTCATTGTGTCGCATGCCAGTGACGTCATAACCCCTCGATTTTTTTTGTTTTGTTTTGTAGAAAACATGGAAACACCAAAGACGCTTTAATATGTTGTGCGTTTTATTAGACCGATGACGACTGCACAAAGTTGCATAATAACAGAACTTTCAAATGTATCTAGTATGATAAAACATGACCAGAAGTAGCGGAAGCACTCGACTGTGGCAAAATAAAAGCTCCGCTGCTTTCGAGCCGTGTGTCACGCTCGTTCAGCGGCCTCGTTTCACTTCGACGGCTTTCAGCCTCACCCTGCTTCATTCTACTACGTTAACAAATCATTAGCTCATCCATGAACATGATTTCTGCCCGAGTCCCGTCGGATTGCATCGGCTGTGGGGATGAAGACCACAACTCCCATGTCTCCACACTCAGTCATGTCTTCATCAAACTACGCCTTTGTCTCTTTGTTTATTTTGAATACGCGCCCTCTAGCAGCAAAAATTACATATTGTGCCTTTAATTATTAATAACAGCAATAAGACATACTAAGGAACTTTTGAATAACCTCTTCATATTCACATAAACACACTCTGGCTGTAACACATACTGCCCACTAAAAGTAAGGTAGGAAAGTAAAAAGCACCTAAAGTAGAAGATCTCATCATCAACCACTTTGGCTGAGAGGGAAAAGCGTTTAAGGGCTTTAAACTTCTTCATATGCTTTTCACTCTCAATGTAGCGACTTTCAAACAGGAGCATGTCTTCTTCTGGACATTCAGTTGGTCTGCAGGACAGGATGTCCTTAAAAGAGGAGACCACACATTTCCCTGTGAAAAGAAAGACTTAAAATTTGGTCTACAGTAAGTTTTCAAACAGAGTCAGTTTTTCCCAATCCAAGGTAAGGAACCGAAGAAGAGAACAGAGGAATTAAAATGAAAATGTTCAAGCACTTAATCAGCTGTATAACTCCCATTTGTGGGAATGCAGTCTTAGAAGTTTCAACATGATAAATTTGCTACTGGATCTGCAATCATTTATTTCACTTGGCTGCTTTTTGTTCGTACTCGAGCCAAGTGATCCCGCACAAGTGATTCAATTATGCATTCAGGGTTCTGAGGTGGCTAGTTTTAATAATAATAATAATAATTAATCATTTAATAATAATTTAAGCATTTAGCAGATGCTTTTATCCAATTCAGGCTATACATTCTTTACCAGTATGTGTGTTCCCTGGGAATCGAACCCACGACCTTTTGCGCTGCTAACGCAACGCTCTACCACTGAGCCACAGGAACATAGTATAGTATAGTTTTTGCAAACTTCAACAAGAAGTAGGACTTCATTGTATTTCCAGTGTCTTTGTGAAGTGAAAAGTCTCTCAGCATGTTAATGATCCCAAAGGCACCAGCAGGTGACAAGAATGGTTGGCAACACTAGGATTTCATTACAATTACAATGAATTCACTCCGTGCCCATACCTAAGATGCAGGTCATAGGACAGGTCTCCTCCAGGCTGCTGAGGAACACCTCACGTTTGTAGAACATCTTTGTTGGCTCATGTTCCGTTTCCTCAGGGTGGATGAAGATGGGTCCAAAGAAGAATGCTGCTCCATCCCGCAACCACATCTTCTCGATTCTGTCCATATCAACCATAACAACTCAGACTATTGCTGTAGGCTTATATTACTGTCAAATCTTTGTGGTCAATGTGTACTTTTATGAGGTATGTCTGTAAAATAAGCATGATTTTGCCCACCTGCCAACTCGTGGTCGCACCAGCCTGTGGGAGCGTATGTAGACACAGTCACCCAATTTAAGCCACATGTCATTGTATTGGAGCTGTTCATAGTACTGGCATCCAGGCTCCCCATTGGCCACTTCGACTGGAACGTCTTCTCGCTCCTGTGGAGAGTAGGTTCAAAATAGTGTTATATGATTAATTTAAGAAGAAAAAAAGTACTCAAAGTCAGTAATTTCCTTCATACCTTCTCGACGAAGCCCCCGTTCTCTCCATCAGGAAGATCAGACACTTTGTCTTTAGCACTGACAAACATGGAGGCAACTCTGACTACGGGTAACGGAACCTCCCGAGGGACTAGTTTGACAAAGCTTGGCGGCATGGACCATATTTTGATCTTCTTGAAGGTTTTGGTCCTGGCAGTGTAGCGGGATTCACAGACATAGACGTCTTCGGGTCTAAAGCCTTCCGGTTGCGACTTAAAATACTCCTAAGACAATAATCCCACATTCAAGAGAATTAAATGCAACATACATCAAGAGCTTGGAGGAACATATTGAAAGTAAAGTATGAGAATATAGACATACATATTTAGCATTAATAAAGAATTATATATATATTGTAGGATCTGTCTCACAACAGACCCACCTACATGATGGAGACACACACATCAAACTCGCTCATTCCATGGAGGGATTTTGAGGTTCGTCTTCCCCGCATCTGCAGTCGTAAAACTCATGCAGGATTAAGTAAGGTGAAGCATTTCCTGGACTGTTTGGCTATATCTCAAGATAAGTATATATATATATATATATATATATATAGAGAATTATATACATCTCATAAATTTTACTTTCAGTGCAACGCATAGCCTCTTGTGGCTTAAAGATTTATTTTTGTGAACCTCTGTCATATAAATTTATAATTAACTTAAACATATCTAAAACATATTTCGGCTGTGGCTCATGTTTCTCACCTTTACGAACAACACAACACATTTCCCCAAGATCTTGCTGAAAGACACACGGTTATTGTAGTCGCTCTTGAATACTTCCTTCTCCAGAAACTTGCGCGCTGCCAGATGGAAAGTTTCGCCTGGACGATAAAACCAACATCCATACATCCACTGCTCACCTGCAGTCAATGTGGACAAATGAAGGTGATATGTCAGCGAAAAAGCAATAGAGAATTAAGCAACAGCAATAAAGAAAAAGTGAGAACGTGCGCACCAGCTTCGTCCTTCCAGAGTTTCTCAATGCAGACAATGTGAGGCTGCAAATTCGCTTCTGAAGGCTGAACATACACACAATCTCCCACGCTGTAGGTGTTGTTCTCAAAGTTGCAGTCCTGACTATATGAGCTTTGAGGACCAGAGGGCCACTGGCTTCCTGCAGCACCCTCTGCTTTGTCCTCTTCTGGAAGAGCTATTAATCATAAAAGAAAGTGCACATTATTACACTACTATAACAGTCATTATAGCAGCAAGACTTTAAAGGGTATCCCAAGGTGTTACATAGCTTTAAAAATGCTAGAAGCAACAGCGAAGCAATTTCTGAAAACATCAATAGCAAAGAACCTTTTTTGTCTTCCTCCCGTTTCAGCCGATCTTCCTCAATTTCTTGGGGCAGTTTCTCTCGCTTCTCTTGATCTATGTCAGCATGCAGATGTTTGGATGTGTAGCTCAGTGCTGGGGTCAGCAAGATTTCGCCATTCTTGCACAGCTCGTCACGGATCTTCACAAAGAAATGCTGTAGCTCCACAGAATCCTCAAAGATCTCAGAATCGGTCCTGAAAGTGCACAACAGCTGTAATGAATTCTGAGATTACCATTTCTAAAACGGACTTCTATTCATGATGACTCTACCGTCAAACTTCACTCTGTTAGACTTGAATGGAACTTAAAGGAATTATTCATGAAGGAAAGGAAGAGAAAACACTGGCTCATAGAGCAAGTCATATGGAGCCTTTTTTTTTTCCTGCCATTTTTAAAGCCTAATGCCATTCTTGTTCATTTTATAGAAAGTGGCATCTTTTGAATTCCAGTTTCTTTAATGACGACAAGAATAGCTGATTTTCACACTCTTCCTTGCTTACCTGTTGAGACGTCTTGCTTTCTCCAGCACCTCAAACACATGCTCTTGGAACACATCCAGTCTCCGATAGCGACCACGATCCACATTATTACGAATGATCTCTAAAGTGAGGGGTGGGTCCTCTGGGTTAGCAGGGTCAATGGCGGGAACCTCCGCCAAAGAGTCACTATAGCAGCGGCCTTCGTCATCCTGGTGTCCCATCATCGAAACGAAGAGGTTCCGGATGAGCTCATGCACGAGAGAGGCAACTGACAAACCACCCAGTCCACCTTCATCTCCATCCTCTTCCTCCTCCATCTGTCGACGAGCTTCCAGAAAGGCTCGATGGAGCAGCAGTGCATCTCGGTATATTAAAGACTCTGGCTCGTTGTAGGTGCAGGCGTTGTTGAACATAAGGATGAAATCTTCTGCTAGCGAGTCGACGTCTTGGTAGCGTCCCTGCACCATGTAGCTGCGTATACGCTCCATGTCAATAGGACGCTTAATGGCGGCGTAATAGTCAGGCAGCTCAGAACGTGAAGGCAGACGCTGGAAGACGGTGCTGAGACGTCGGCCACGATTGTCTGTGAAGTTGCGCACAGCTTCGTAGAGATCAGTAAGCTTCTGCTGGAGTGGTGTGGTCTGAGTGCGGGCCTTTTTAGGGGAGGCAGCAACTCCACTACGGCCTAGAAAAAAAAGAAAGGAATTTAGTAAAAAAAAAAAAAAAAGTAGTTAAATCTAAAATTATTGTCTTCATTAGTGTCTTTATTAGTTCATTAAGGTGTCCAATTTTAGCCAAAAAACATACGAAGCTTGAGTTTGGGAGAGCCCATGTCATCTTCCTCGGGAGGAGGGCCAAGCTCCTTCTGTTTATCCTTAACTATCTTCTCCAAGATGTTCGCATCATTATAAACCTGTGGGTAAAAAAAATGAAATGGCAAGCATAAATTTCAAATTATAGTATTTGGTCTATTCAATTTTAGACACTATATTCTCATTTGAACCCACACAATTAAATAAAGAAGCAATATTATTTTCTGGATGAACTGTTCGTTTAACACTGCTGTAGTACATCATAGACATACTTGCAAAAGATAAGAATGAGTGCCTAAAGCTAGACAGAAGTTTCTTATGCTCACCAAAGCTGCATTTTTTGGCTCAAAAACAGAGTAAAAAACAGTTATATTGTGAATTATTATTACACTTTAAAATAAAGTTTTTATTACATTTTTATATATTTTAAAACGCAACTTATTCCTGTGACACAAAGCTGAATTTATTAGCATAATTTCTCCAGTCTTCAGTGTCACATGATCCTTCAGAAATCATTCTAATATGCTGATTTGCTGCTCAAGAAACATTTTTTATTATGATTATCAACATTAAAAATTATTTTTGTTGCTTAATATTTTTTGTGGAAACCGTGACTTTTTTATCTTTGATGAATAGAACATTCTAAAGATCTGGACCCCAAACTTTTGAACAGTAGTGTATTACAATCTAGCATTCAGCTTGAATAAAGTTATGATGCCCACCTGAGATCCTTCCTCATTATAGTGGCGGGCATTACGAAACATAAGCTTCATGCCATTTATAAGTGCTTCCTCATTGTTATAACGCTCAGTGCGGATATTGTTCTCGATGGTACGCAGGTCCATTGGATCTTGGATGATCTGGTAGTAGTCTGGGTAATCCTTCTTAGAGGGCTTCACCATGAAGAGATCACAGAGGCGCCGTCCAGTGCCTGCCTCACGTGCCTCAGTCACTGCAGCATACAGCATCTTCATTCGGTTTTTCTTGGTGTTCTTCTTGTGGCTTTAAGATCCAGATTATGGTAGCAAAAAGAAAAGAATGCTTATTCCTGATTGCAAGTCATACAGGTGAAAAATAATGCGAGTTACGTCATTTAAAAATCACCTTTTCCTTTTACCACTTCCCAATTCTGAATTTGCAGTAGAGATGTCTCCTTCAACGTCATCTCGGAGCTCTCTTTTCTTTTGCTAGAACACAAATTCAACCAAAATAACCCTCTTTTACTCATTTCCCTGAACCACTAGGACATTCCTGCAATAGGTTTCTCACTAGGTTTTGGAGAAGAGCTTTAGTTCTTAAAGCAGACTGACCTGCATTATTTGCTGTAACCTCTGAGCACGTTTGTATATGGTGGAACTGGGCATGTTGTAGCGTTTAGCATTCTCAAACATTAACGTGAGGTCAGCCTCAATCTGCTCAACTCCTTCATAGTCCCCATTCTTCATTTTATCCCTATAAAGAATATAAAATATGAAAAAAGTGTGTAAATGTTTACTGTTTTCAAACTTTATGATTCAAATGAGTAGATATATCATGTGGGTTATGCACACCTGATCTGTTGTAGGCAGATGGGGTTTTTGATCTGATGGTAGTAGTCTGGGTATTCCCTTCGTGCGGGCAGTTGGAGGAAGGGTTCAGCGAGAAGCAGCCCCTGAACGCTTCGGGCTCCTCGCATTGACTGGTACAACAAGAAGATTGGGTCACCTGCACTGAGACCACAATCGGCCTCCGATTCTCCAGTGTCATAACGTACAGTGCCTGAGACAAAGTATAATGACAGACAAAGTTACTTCAAAGAACAATCCTTCAGATATATTAAGTTGCAGACCTTGCCAAAGTATTTTTGAATAAGTAGAGTTGGCAGACTCTCTCAAATGGATTGCTATAGACAATGGGAACTGCAGATATGTACCTTTGAGAATAGAGTCTTCTTCACTTTCAGATCCAGCTTGAAGAGCCATAGTGATGGCAGACAGCCGGTCACCCTGAGCAGACCTCCGATTTCTAGCAAAACACAGCATGTTACAATACAGACTAAAACATGCATCTTCAAAGCAACCAGTTGAGGAAAAGAAGAATTACCTGATGCGGAGGCTAGATTTAGTGGGTTCAGCCTGCTCAATCTCAGTCCTTCTCTGGGCAAATACCTTCTTAATTGTGTTTGCATCCTTTAAAAAGACAAAAATGAATTTGTTGTATACAAGGAGTTATATTTGATGAATAGACAACAAGGGTATAAAGTGTACAAACCTTGAAAACTTGTGACCCTGGCTCATTGTATGCTTTGGCGTTTTTTGTCAAAAGATCAATGTCCTTGGCCATGGCACTGATGGATTTGTAATGTCCCGCCTAAAAACAGAACACAGCAAGTAAACACAGGACGTAAGCCATTTCATGTAAATATTAGAGATTTCTGATTCATTGTGTAAATAACTAGAAAAGGTAGTTAGTAGAATAGTTTTGTGTAAAAAACTATTGCGCTACAAACCAGTGTGTTTCTGATTATGATAATAATAAAATAAATATATATATACATATGATAACAAATACCAGTTTGCAATATCAAGCAGCATAACAGACACTGGAAGCCTTGTACATTCAAGTTACAAATGGTCAGACCTGCTCTTACGTTAAAAGTAGGGTGGATGAAGATGCCAACATGTTATAATAATTATTATACAAAATCTCTTGCCAAGTAAAAAAAAAAGTGCATAATGGGTGTCATTATTACGTACAATTACGACCAATATATTACATCAGCCTTTGACAGTCTTGTCACAGTTGACATTATTATAAAGCCTCACATACCTGTATCCTCTGAGCCACAGTGCGCAGATCTATTGGTTCTTTTGTTACGGCATAATAGTCTGGATAATGCTGGAAAGGAAGGAATGGGAACTTAAGTCAGTTCTGATTAAAGTAACAAACTAGGCTGACATTTTTATCCACACTATGTGACTACACAAATGTGGGTCTCACCAATTTGGAGGGAAGTTTTTGGAATAGCTCACTAACAAGCCTCCCTGAGGAATCAGTGCATGATACTATGGCCTCCAAGAGCTGCTCCAGAATGGCTTTTAGATAGCTTGGAGGTCTCTGTTGAGCAAAGGTGTGTAGAGGAAAAAAATGATATCAGTCTGGATGTGCATATTAATAATAATAATAATAAAAAAACTACAAAACATCCATAAACGCAAACAGAAAAAAAAATCCTTACCACCTCCTCCATGGAAGCACTTGTGTTTTCCGCATCTTCACCTTCCTCATCATCCTCAGCCTCTTCTCCTTCGGATCCCTGTAGTAGTTCATTCTTGATAGTCAGGAAGACGTTCAAAAGCTTACAGGCAGCTCTGTACTCTGCACTGTCAGCCTGTTGTAAGAGACCCACAGATGCGCATTTCTGAGTTGACGGTGGCTGTAATGCTGAACAGTTTTGAATGTGCAACAGCTACGTTGACTGCATCTATGCATCTAACCAGTAGTTTAAAATAACGGACAGACTGAGCTGATTCATGTGCCAGAAACTTCAGTGTTAAATTAATTTAAATGTGTAAATGTAAATGCAAACTCACTTGATAGTATGCTTTGGCGTTATTAATAAGCAGATGAAAGTCAGCTGAGAACTGCTCTACATCCTGGTATTCCTCTGCCCTGAGCTTCTGCTGTATTTTCATCATGTCTATGGGCTGGCTCACCACTTCATAATAGTCAGGCTGATTCCTAAAACAGGAAAAAGAAGAATAGAGGTCGAGGCATAGGTTAGTATTGCATGCATTAAATTCAGTATGGTTTATTTCATCACATGTTAAAATTCATTTAAAAAAGAAATACACTAAATTTATTTCTTTAAAAAACTACAAGTGTGATTACTACTTTTACTTTTCTGCATGCATTATTTTATAAGATGGATGCGTTGAGCCAGTGTTATTTTAGTATCAATGATACTATTATTGTTTTGTTTCGTTTTATTTTATTTTGATATTTTCCATTTGTTTTCTTTTTATTTTAGTGAAAGTTTTAACGATTTTTTCTCCCATTTTGATTAGTTTTTTTTTTAAATATGTTAACATTTATAGTAAATAAATGTCGTCTTTTTTTTACATTATATTTTATTCTAGTTCATGTTTATTTTACTTCAAGTTACAAAAATGCTTGTTATGATTTTGTTTTTATATATTAGACCATTAACAAAATTAAAGAAAATTATAGAGCACAATGATTTATTTTCTAATAAAAATAAATATAATTGTAATAACTGTAATGTAATATAAGTGTCATTTTTAATTAATTCATCATTTTTCATACTCTATTTTATTCCATTAATGTTTATTTTTTTTACAGGTAAAGAAAATGTTATGGTTTTAGTTGTAGTTGACTATAATAACCCTGAGAGGGACTAGACAATGAAGTAAAAGCAGCCATTAACTGTCCAGCTTTCAGTTTTATGGCTTTACTCCATTTAGTAAAGTGCAAAATAGCATGTAATAAAAAATAGCTGCAGGTGTGTCGAAACATTTGACTGACAGTGTACATTAAAAGACAAGGAATATACTCGCACCTCCTCTTTGGTGCACGAACAAAGAGCTCACAGATCTGTCTGCCTTGGTCATCTTTGTAATCTCTGACAGTGTTGTACAATTCATGGCACACAGCAATCTAAATTCAAGAAAAAGACAAAGAAACATGACGAGATTACTGTTATGATCTAAACTGATCTATGATCAATCTACGAGCTAAAGCAAGTCGTTTGAATATACCGAACCCCATGTACTCACTTGATCAACAGAAGGAGCAGTGGAAGCTCTCCTCCTCTTCCATCCACTGACTGGAGTTGATGAGGCAGCATCATCAAAGTCTCCTCCGCTGACACTGCTGGAAGAAGAGGTGGCTCGTCTTCTCTTGGAGCCCATTGAAATGGTTCCTGCTGACCAACAAACATCCTTTTTGACACAGGGCTTCTGGCACTTTTGATTAATTAATTCCCATGACTTTTCCAGTTGATATGATAAAATAATGTGGATTCTCAGAAATCATTTCATGGAAATAAATGCCATTGGTACATCAGGTACCAATCCTTAATATCAATACATTTGCATGGTTATACTTTTTACTGAACAAATATCACCACCAGTTAGATTAAAAACGTCTTCACACCTGAATGCAACAACTATGAATTGCACAAGAGAAAGTGGAATATTTTAGAGTAGTAACGTTTTTCATCAAAATTTTCATGATTGTAAAGATGGTATTACAAAACTGTAGATTTTGTGGATCACCATATATCATTATCCCATAATAAACGTTGTTTACAATATCTATATGAGCTACTAGTCATAAACAAACTACAGTTGACCTGCTTAATGGAGAACAAAGGAAAGTTTGGACATTAATTCATCACCCATATATGCATTCTTTCATACCAGCTTTGAAGTAAGCCTATAACAGAGGCGATTATGCTGTGGACTATATGAATCTACAGTGTTGTGTGGAGTAGCATACTTAGCCGCGTGCTAATCTTCCGGTAAACAAGCCCTTAACACCAACAGCCAATCGATGCTCCGTGTTTTAGTCAAACAAAAGAGCGGTCTTGCGGTGTGCTCTCTCGTACTCACTCACTTCTCTTGAAAAGCACACTTCGGTTTCTTATATTAATCTTGCTGAGGTTTATAAATGTATACGGGAACAAAATGTTTTAGAAATATGCCGACATACCCGTGTTAAAATCGCGACTTTACTGGCGCAGCTAGTAATTATCTTTCAGTAACAACAGAGCTGCAACCAGCACGTAGCGCTGATAGCTAACGAAGTCCGTCTCCTTCCGCATACGAAACCGGAAGTACATTTAAGAAGCCCCTCCTTACTTCCGAAATTGTAGAAAGATAAATACATTTTAAATACTGAATAGTTCTTCTCCTCACTGAGAATGAAAACAAACGGCATTCGAGATAAGATAAATATTTACAACAGATTTAATGTTTTATTTTAGGAACAGATTCTAGAATTACAACGTAATTAAACTTAACATAGTCAGTGTTTAGGCCTATCTATTTTAAAGGACGACGATTACAAAGAATTAAGAATGACAAAATATAGATATAAAAGCAAAGTAATGGAGCCGAAAAAATAAAGAAATAATCTATTAAAAAGAACAGATATAATAATAATAATAAATAAAATGATACTTTTACAGTTTACATAAATATACTGCCACTACTAAAAATAAATATACTATTACATATTAACAAAATTACATAAAAAATAGCAAAAAAAAATTCCAAATAAAAATAAATATAATTTAAAAGTGTCATTTTTATTAATTACTTTCAAAGAATATATATATATATATATATATATATATATATATATATATATATATATATATATA